CGCCCCAGCCCGGCGCGGTTGCGCCGTCATTAGTAGCCTCCCCCCAAGGTTCTATCGCGCGCGCGGTCGTCAGGACTTCTACCCGTAGCACCCGAGAGGCCGCGGGGGCGGCCTTTCCACGTCCCTTCCCACCTGTCTTGGCGGCACGAGGGGCTTCGGCCGGGGGAGACGTAGGTACTGTTGGGAGCCTAGGTCCTTCATTAGGTAGCCATATCTCATCAAGGACACGGTTGCGCGTGCGGCGCGCTACGACACACACGGATTCTGTGACTACGCCGGTCGGTCCGGCTCTCGCGTCTTCTGAGACGCCCACGTTGACTCCAGCCCGCCGGCCGCCGGGATTCTCGGAGATTGCCTTGTCAGCGGCTGCTCCATCGGGAGGAGCGGCGCTAGAGCTGCTGTCGACCCCGCCGCGCACGGACGTATCAGCTTTGTCGGGGGAGTTAACAGCTCGCATGGACGTGGGATCGCCGATGCCGGAGTCTCCCACCGAACCGTCGGAGGTTCCCACTTCCGGTTCCAGCGGAGAAGCTCCGCTAAATACCCGGGAGGGACGGAGCCCGGCAGACCAACCCACCCTCCCATCTGCTCGGCTGGCAGCGACGAGGCGCTCGGACGAGGGCGTCGACGGAACTCGGGACCAGGGGGTTGCCAACGAGGGCCGCATCTCGACGAGAATTCGGTCGCGCACGAGCGCCGTGGTCGGGCATCAGGTATCTGCCGCCTCCCCTGTCCAACCATCAGCAAGCGCACAAGGCGTCACCGACCGCGCACCAAGACTGGGCCTCGACCCTTTCCCGAACGCTAATGCAGCGCCAGAAGAACCACCGTGCGCACGAAGTCGACCCCTAGAAGGAAGTAGGCCGCGAGGAGGCCACGCCGAGGAATGGGATTTGCCGGGGGCAGACCCGGGGGAGACACCCCCCGAGGCAGACACCGGGGAGACACCTCCCGAGGCACGCCGGGGAGACTCTGCTCCCCCCTCGGGCCGAAGAACGGACGTAGCAAGTGCTGCAGTTGGGGAAGTCGCAGACCTGCTTCCCACGTTGCCCGCCGTCCCGATTGCCCTCATGACACCAAGTCAACCGCAGTCAGGGCCCTCACTTCCTTCGGAGGGGGGCAGTTCCCCCGAAACTCGTTACGACGACCGAGTTGCCCCGCAGTCCCTGGCCCAGACGGATACCAGCGATCTAGCCCAGCCAACGGGTCGCCCGACTGCACTGCCCCCCGAGCGGTCGACGCCATCGCAGCAATTGCAGTCAGAGGAGCGTCCCCCCCGGCGGGAACAGTGTTCGTCGCATTCGCCGGAGCAACGGACAGTCGCCCAGCCTCGGGACACGTCTCCAACTACAGCGCTGGCCTCGCCGGAACACACGCCTTCTTCGGCCACCGCGGAAACGGCAGCAGCGCCTACTGAACCACTGGTGTGTGGCATCTGTTTAGGAGATGTCAGCGAACCGTCTGTGAACCTCGTTAGCTGCGGTCATGCGATGTGTGTGGGCTGCTATGCGAGGGCATGCGTGCGGGAAGTCGGCGATACCCTCCACTATCCCATGTGCCGANCCAGCCTCGGGACACGTCTCCAACTACAGCGCTGGCCTCGCCGGAACACACGCCTTCTTCGGCCACCGCGGAAACGGCAGCAGCGCCTACTGAACCACTGGTGTGTGGCATCTGTTTAGGAGATGTCAGCGAACCGTCTGTGAACCTCGTTAGCTGCGGTCATGCGATGTGTGTGGGCTGCTATGCGAGGGCATGCGTGCGGGAAGTGGGCGATACCCTCCACTGTCCCATGTGCCGGATAGGGTCCACCATCTCAGAGACGAGTACCAGCTTGGAATAGCAGCACGGGAACGACGTAGTTTCTGAGGCTTTTCGAGCAGCGAGATCGGAGAGGGACGTGGCTCACTCGATCGCACGGGAGGCGAGTCAAACGTACGCGCCTCGCCATCTCTGCGGAGTTTGTCACGAATCAATAGGTCAAGGGGCTGCCATGTCTCCGCCCTGTGGATGTCACTACCACACTCGATGCGCGGTGGGACTCGTAGAAGATCAACTGCACGACGCCCTGGCGAGCGGACACGACATTATTTCGTGCCCGCACCAGCGTACAAGACAGGATCACGGCTTCCAAGCAACGGTCGTTCTACCGGAGCACGCCAGATTCAACTTTTACGAAAACGAAGCGGATCAGCGGGCGTTAGGCGCGCGGATCGAAACAATCAGGGGCCAGCTGCGAGACTTCGGGCCGCGCATGCCGGTTCGCGTCGGAACGAGGAGACAACCCACAGAATCGCCGGCCGCGTCCACATACGCCTACACACTTTCTCCTCCTCTTTCGCCCGGCCCGTCACCACCTGCTCCGACTACAACGCCTTCTCCGCGAGGGGCGACGGACGGGGTCTGCGTCGTATGCCATCAGAACGGGGCTTGGCAACGCCCGCTTGTCACCGCGCCGTGCTCATGCAGGGTACATCTTACGTGCGCGATGACCTTCGTGGAGAACCACCTGCTCTCTACCGCGCCGTCGGACAGCTCTAGGATGGTGGCGTGCCCGAATCCAGCCATGCACGATTCGAGGCGCGACGTCTTTTGGCCCCGCCTCCTGGAGATAGTAGCCATCACGATCCCGGCATGGAGTCTCGCTGATGGAGAGCGGGAAACCTTGCAGGATAGGGTTGTTGCAGCTCGTGAGAGATTGCGCGAGCTTGATCGAGCAGGTGAAACGCGACGTTCCGTCCCCGACACACGGCCCCAACTCACCGGCGCGAACGGAGGCGGTAGCGCCGGATCGTGTTCTTACTGTGGAGGCCACTTTGGGCCACCACCACAGGCCGAGGGACTCGAGCCTATCCAGATCCCGTGTGGACACCACGGGTCGGTGCACGCCAACTGCCTGTGGGACAGAGCCAACCAGATAGCACACGGACGCGTGGATCCACGACCATGTGCCAACTGCTCGCAGGAAGGATCGAACGGACGACGACCTCCTCATCCCGCGGAACTTGTCCAGAACTACAAACTGCCGCACGCCGGGGGACGGTGGGACTTCCTGAGGGAGGCAGGGTCTTTCGCATCCGAGATAGAGGGAAATTTCGACACATGGTCTATGTCCGAATCCGGCGCGGACCCGGCGGAGCATTTCGACTCCTTCGAGAGTGTGGTGCGGGCCCACGAGAGAAGTGAGACGGCTTCCTGGCTCCTGGTCACGCTGTTCTGCGACGTATTCGGGATGGACAGAAGCGTGTACATATACTTCCCTCGGGGCCGCAACGAGGACAACGGGTGGGACAGGTTGGTCCAGAGATACCGCTCTACATTTTACGCCCATGGAATACGGCCGTATCAGGTGCTATTGCGGCTGCCCCGGGGCAGAATCTACATTGCGCCACACGTACAGGAATACCTGGTGCACCTGGACCAGGAGTGTGAATCGCATCTCATATTCTACACCATAGCAGTACAGAACGCCCTACGCAACCCCGGCCAACCTCTGCCGCCATTCCCGCGGGTAGGGGGGGTGGCTCGGTGCCACGACGACTGGGATGAACACCACGTCCCACCCCACCAAGGAGGCGAAACCAGCAGAAACACAGTGACCCCGACTGTCGTGGCCCCACGAAGGGTGACGGGAGTTGGCATCGACCCGGGCTTTGACATAGGAAGCGGCCCAGAGGAGGAAGAAGGATTGTTGTCCCCGAGGAACCCATCCACAACAACACACGCCACCAGTCGGACGAGCCCTCAAGTAGGACCCGGGGAAAGAAGCCAATCACTAGGAACGCCAAGGCGGCGCAGACCATCTGCTCGCGAGGGTAGCGGAATATCGGATGATGCTACTACATCGGGTGAACGTCAACGAACTTCCTCGGAACCACCTCAAGGCGGAAACAGGCGACGCCGGCAGGGAAGTGAACCGGATCCAGACGGTGAGTCGCGAGAAAGAGGAACGCCATCACATCCGGCACGAACACANGGTTGGTCCAGAGATACCGCTCTACATTTTACGCCCATGGAATACGGCCGTATCAGGTGCTATTGCGGCTGCCCCGGGGCAGAATCTACATTGCGCCACACGTACAGGAATACCTGGTGCACCTGGACCAGGAGTGTGAATCGCATCTCATATTCTACACCATAGCAGTACAGAACGCCCTACGCAACCCCGGCCAACCTCTGCCGCCATTCCCGCGGGTAGGG